GAGTGTTGTAGATTGTGGTAAGAGCACACACACAAATCCACTCCCTTTCTAAGGACCCACGGGAGGTTTTGTTGTCCGGTCCTTGCCTTTGGGGGGTATCGATGTCCTTAGGGGTTTCTTCTCCCTCCTCATCTTTTGTAATGGTCCCCACACTTGTGGTTTATATTCTTGCTGTGTCCCTTTGGGTCGTCCCCAGAGAGGCTTCCCTGTCTCCACTGTAAATACTCCTTAAACTCTGTTGACCCCTTTCACATACCTCTTGATCATTTCTTGTGAGTTCTCCCCCTTTCCCTTTCCTCAGCCTTATCACTCTGGTTTTGACTGTTGCCCTTCCCTCCTAATGTGGCTATCACAATTTCGGTCAGATTGACTTTCGATGCAGTCGTTTTCGTACTGTCGCTGGCCTCCCTCCTTATCTGTGCTTTATCGTTTCTGGCTCTTCTACAAAATCTCCTTATTTTCCTGGGTCCTTTGCCTCCTGTACCTTTTCCATTCTCTGGTGCACTTAGTTTTTTTCCTCCCTACACCTTCGGGTAAACCAAGGACTCGCTTTGGTCTTCCTATTATTTCTGTTTCCCTTGGGAACAAACCTTCCCCTGCCTCCTTGCATTTGTTGCTACATATTCCATCATCTCGTTTACTGATTTTCCTACCAGGTCTCTGTTCCACTGAACTCCGCAGGAAGTTCCTCAACTGTGTAGTCCCCCTTTTTTAGTTTGGCTTTTCCCATTCAGTTCCTGTTTCCTTCTCCACTTGTAACTCTACTATATAATCAAAACTCAGAACCAAAGTGATCCTAGCTCCAAGGGGCCTCTCGTAAGTGATGTCCTCAATGTCTGAACTGTTCAGGGTGAACACAAGATCCAGTCTTGCTGGCTCATCCTCCCCTCTCTCTCTGGTAGTGTCCCTGACATGTTGATGCATGAGGTTTTTAAGTACCACATCCATCATCTTGGTTCTCCATGTTTCGGGACCCCCATGTGGCTCCAGGTTTTCCCAGTCGATATCCCTGTGGTTGAAATCGCCCATTACCAGTAACTTTGCTGCTCGAGTGAGCTCTTTTTGCCACTTCAGCCAGTGTGTCCACCATCGCCCTGTTGTTTTCTTCATACTCCTTTCTTGGCCTCCTGCAGTTCTGTGGTGGGTTATACATCATTCCAGTGACTACTTTATGTTCTCCAGACTGAATTGTACCTACTATGTAGTCTCTTTCTCCAATCATGTCCATGCCTTCCCCATTCATTCTCCTTTCTAGTCTATGGTATGCATACCCATAGTTCTGTGCTCTGTCGCTGAGAATGTGGAGTCATGTGAGAGTATTAATACACACTCGGCGTTTCAACTGCGTGTTGAGTGTGATCCAGATTGCATTGGTTGGTGTTGTGGAGTCTTTCTGTCCTTGTCTTTATGGATTTTTTCAATTAACGTTATTATACACAGCATTGTAGGGCTACCTTTTATCCAGCGCTCGATTACTTCCAGCAGTCCTGTCATTTTGAAGGTTCCGAAGGGTAGACTCATGTCTGCAGAGAACAGAACGTCTGGTCGATTGAGTGTATATAATCTTGTGAATACTATGATTATAGTGGATAGTAGGTCTTGACTCTCAGTACCGGGAGGTGCGAGATTCTTCACCTCCCGATATGTTTAGTAACACAAACTCAACATAATCAGCTTTTTATTTATCAGAACAATTATATACACAAGGGGGGGGAATGACATTCAGATATATGAAGGACTATAGTCATTACACGAATAATGTAAGTATGGGGAAATACACACTGATAAAATAGTACTTTGTATATACAAAGTTACTGGGAGGGGAATAATATAACATTATTACAGTGATACCTGGAGGGTGTTTCCGGGGTCAACGCCCCCGTGACCCGGTCCATGACCAGGCCTCACCGTTGATCAGATTCTGATCATCCAGGCTATTACTGCTGACCACACGTAGTCCGTCGTATGAACCACAACCCGGCTGGTCAGGTACTGACTAGGTACCTGTCCAGCTAGGGATCTATTGGTAATCCCACTTATATATGCTGGGAAGCAGTTGAACAGTCTTGGGTCCCTGACACTTATTGTGTTATCTTTTAGTGTACTCGTGGCAATGTAAGCACAGTTGTATTGACGAAAAATAATCTTAGAGCAGTTCACCGAGGCTCAACTCTTAAGCAACTCTTAGCTGGGTGACTGCTCAGCTGTGAACTCATGATGGACCTTAATTTGATTTTTTTTCTCTGTTGGATTGTATTAAAGTGTTGCATAGCCTATATATAAGGGTTTAGCTAAAACTGGGAAAGAATAATAATAATACTTTAAAGATTCACTTCTCCCCATATGCATCATTTAAGAAGCATTCTAGGCAACCTCCCTTCCTCAAGGGAGTTACGTTGATGCTGGTGAGTTCTTGATCCAGTGAATTGCACCTGTTCTTCCCTTCCTTGGATTGAACCAATTGCCGCCTATTCTCTAAGCACAGTATGACTCGTACGGGTTTAGCGCTTACCATAATATTATAATAATAATTTGGGAAATTGACTGCATGAGGTTTACAGGGTATTACCTGAATTATTATGTGCAGTTAGTTTGGGTGAGGTAAGTGGGACTTAGTCAAAGTAAGTCGCCGAACTGTCACTCCCTCGATGCCCACTCCCTACCACTCTCACAAAAAAGCTTGACCTGACATTAAATTAATAATTACAGTATTAACCATTAATACTAATAATGGTAAATTATAAAATAATGTGGACTGTATATGATTTTAGGACCTGATTGTTAGAAATGGCATCTCTCCTGTCTGTGTCACTCTGCCGCTGTTCTACACCCCTCCCCCACTCGAAATTTATCGAAAGGGTCAACTCATCATCACATTTTATTACACAATTAGTGTATTATTCAAATTTACACATGCTGAATTTAGGAAAATTCAAAATTTTCCACAAATAATAATTGTTCGAGGCATGAGCTTGGTCATTTTTTTGGCATGGTAGGTATAAAACAACAGCCTACATACCACTGTGCAAAGCATTATTATTTTATTATTATTATTGTGCGAAGCGGTGAAGTGATGGAGGCTTGATCCTCTGTCCAGTAATAGAGAGAGGGACGCTCTACTCTAGCAGACATGGATACACCGTTGATAGTTGTGCATGCAATTGAATTACAGTTGTGTACAGAACCCTGATAGATGTGTGCACAAGGTCCTGAAGATGTGTGCACAAATTCCTTATACAGTGGACCCCCGGTTAACGAACTTTTTTCATTCCAGTAGTATGTTCAGGTGCCAGTACTGACCGAATTTTTTCCCATAAGGAATATTGTGAAGTAGATTAGTCCATTTCAGACCCCCAAACATACACGTACAAACGCACTTACATAAATACACTTACATAATTGGACGCATTTGGAGGTGATCGTTAAGCGGGGGTCCACTGTATATGTACAGAACCCTTGTAGTTACAGCGAGAGTTGTCCGCAGCACCCTGAGATTTGTTCACAGAACCCTGAGTTATGCGCATGCATGCATACACAAAAAAAAAAGGGGGACTAAGAGGCGGGAATCAGGTACTTGAGGACACAACTGAGTTAGACACATGAACCTTAGGGATATCAGGAAGTACTTCTTCAGTCTCAGGGTGGTCAGGAAGTGGAATGATCTCAATGAAGAAGTGGTGGAAGCAGTCTTCATACATAGTTTTAAAAACAGATATGACAACGCATATGTATCATGTGGCAAGCTAAGTGTTGGGACCAAGAGCTATGACTACCCCTGCAACCACATATATGCAAGGACACACACATGGACACACACACACGGACATAAATAGCCTAGCCTTAGATCTTACGATGCCAGATAAATGTCTGAATCATACAGATATATGAACCTAAATACTATGTTAATACGAAGATAAACAAGCATTGGTGAATTCTACGTATTAATTAACATTAACTAGATATTGACATTAGAAACTAGATTGTTCCGGTTGATCCTGAACCATCATCAAGTTGCGACTTAAATGTCATATACTGTAGTTTCCATTTACCAGTTGGAGGTTTGTAGATGAATGGTTCAGAGAACCGACATGTTGATAAATTAGACACATGTGCAACTCTTTGGTATCTTTATTGAGGAAACGTTTCGCCACACAGTGGCTTCATCAGTCCATACGTAGGAGAAACTTGAAGAACAGGAGGAGAATGAGGTAATCAGTCCCTCAACCTTGAGTCGATGTGTTCAGTCCATCAATCTTGATGGACTGAACACATCCACTCAAGGTTGAGGGACTGATTACCTCATTCTCCTCCTGTTCTTCAAGTTTCTCCTACGTATGGACTGATGAAGCCACTGTGTGGCGAAACGTTTCCTCAATAAAGATACCCAAGAGTTGCACATGTGTCTAATTTATCAGTTGGAGGTTTGTTGTGGATTTCTCACTGTATGACCCTGGTGGGTTTAATGCTTAGTTTGGATTATAATAATAATAATGTGAATGTCTTCAGTCATGGTATTGTGACGTATTTTTCTTTATTCATTATGTGGACTAAAATTCGTACAGTGAATCCCATTGCGTATAAATGACACTATTTGGCTTTGTTGGAATATCTTGAATTAAATTATCATAATTTTTCACCACTCTGCACATATAAAAAAGGGGCACAATGCAAACATTATCGAAATTTAAAATAATTTTCCCTAAAGGCTTATTTTCTTAATCACAATAAAAGTGACTTATTTTCTTAATCACAATAAAAGTGACTTGCATTACTTGCTGTTGCCCACCTGATGCATTACCCATAGAGATAAATTTACTAACCATAATTTATAGGGGTAGACCTGTAAGCCAGCGGAAGGTCTCGGTCAGATGACCAAAAGCTCAGGCGGCGGGGCATCATATGACTAAGACCTGTGTCAGGAAACACTTGTCTTGTTTCTTGGCAAATCTTACCTAACCTAACCTAACCTACCCATAGACAAAGATTTACTACCATTTCAGCAGCTAAGGGGGTGGCCCCATCCACGCCAGCGGACTTCACTCCCACACTACGAGACAATGTGTGTTACATTGTGGCTGCTGTTCTGGTCAATGATGAGGGTCATGTCCTCATGATGCAGGAGGCAAAGAGGTCAGCGCCAATCTTTATCTACTTACAAAATTTTATGATAGATTAAATAAAGAAGATAGGATGCCCATAGCATAGTTTCTCTTCTTTAGCTAGAAATAGTTACATGGGAGCACATAAGAAAGGCATATGTTATCTATTGATAGGGATTAACTAGTTTGGCTACTGCTACTTGGTTGTGAGTAACACAAATAAGGACAAGATTATCTCTGACAATTTCTTTCTGATTGAATTTCATCATGCTGGAGGAAGGAAGAGTTAGATAAGCACTTTCACTTGACACTTTGTTGCAGGTGAATCCTTCAGGCAAGGCTCCTGATGTTGGTGAAGGGCTCTTGAGCCAAAGAATTTAAGCTATCCTTCCTTGGATCAAATTGGATCACCTCCTGTTCCCTAAGCAGCTTATGAGTTTACTGCTTCCACATGAATATAATAATCCCAAGTGAAATATCTTCAAGAAAGGTTTGTCCTTAAGTGATATTTTAAAGGATTAGGCCCCTTCACATGGGGTGTCCCTTGGGAGTCCCCTTACTACAGTGAAGGAGCTCTGTATGTGAGGAATTGGACCTCCTCTTCTTTTTCAATGATCAAATCTAAAACCTCCCACTCATCTTGGCTACATTTTTGGGGTATTTCTCCTTTTATAAAATCCAGCTACTAGACAGATGGAAGAGGAATCGCATTTGGCCCTGTTCTAATGTAGCTTTCATTTGTGTTGTTTTTTAACTCAACCTGACAGCAGATCATTTCTTGTGAGACATAAGGTGAACATGTGGCAGGACCTCTGATAATAGAGATACTAATGGAGGTTGTCTGCAGATCAAGGAGTGGCAACTAGAGGTGCATCATTCATGGTGTTATTCCTAGTTCACCTACAACCATTATTACCTGGAGGACAACTGGACATTTAGTGTTCTTTGCCTTGCTCAGTCAATTCATTTTCATGAGTTGACTAATCCTTCAAGGGAAAGGTGTTTTGCTACTGGTGAAGGGCTTTTCATTTGAAGAATTAGAACTACCCTTTCCTTTCTTGAGTAAACCCTAATGACCTCCTATTCCTCAGCACTATATGTTTAGCACTTCCCCATTAATATAATAACTTGAGCTGACCCAACTCCCTGAAGGCAACAGGGATAAATACTTGACAGTACTGTATATACATATATAATGGAAATATACACTTCCACTGATCATGGAGTAGAAGATTTAATTAAAGTTTAAATTAGTTCTTCCTCAAATATTTAGGATAGACAAAAATGAGGCTTGCTTAAATATACATTATTATAAAAAATTCCTTTTTAGATTTATGAATTAATTTTCAGCTATCATTAGATTTGTGATGGTCTCATTATCCAATGACAAAACAGTTAATAATAAAAGTTAAGAGCACATTTTGTACAAAAAATTCTAAATGGTACTATGAAAACTAGGTTAGATAGTTGCCAGTGAGTCTGATCTGTATTCTCTAAATACTGTACTGTATGTTATGTTTTATTGTGTCATTAGGTTTGGTTTTGAAAATTTTTATTCAGTGAAAGAAACTTGAGTTTTATAGCCAATTACATGCTGGAGTGATCATGTTAGGTAGGAGTGATTGGAGACATGTGGTTTTCAGTGGGCATGCTGTTGGAAGGTAAGCAAGGTAACTTTTATGAAGGGATTCATGGAAACTGGTTAGCCAGATTTGAGTCCTGTTGTTGGGAAGGACAGTGCCTGCACTCTGGAGGAGGGGTGGGGATGTTGCAGTCATAGGTTAATCTGAATTATGATGTCAGCATACTTCTGGAAATACAGCAGTTGAGTGATTAATGGTGAATGTTTTGTTTATTGGGTCACCCTGCCTTGACAGGAGATGGCCTATGAGGTAAAAATTAAATAAATTTGCAGTGCATAGTTTAAATTAATAATTAATCCTAGTAAACCTTTTTAAAATAATAATCTATTTATATGATGGATTGTAAAATGCAAATTACTTTAAATTATCTGATTTGGTAGTTTATATACATAATGCATGAAATTTCTTTGTTTTACTTTACCTTGTACAAATTTATACTGTACATTGAAAGTAAAGTTAAAAATCTTAAAAAAGTGTAAATTTGGAAACAGTTCGTGTGCTGGGAAGTGGTACCTTCCTGCAGGACGTATGGAGGCTGGAGAGACTATTGTGGTAAGAAAAGTCTTATTATTTTATGAGTATTACATAAACCACTTTACTAAAATTTACTAGTGAAATTTTGTAATTAGAATTGGCATTATCAGTTATTATAGGTTCAGTTATATAGTATATTAAATAATCAACCTGACCTTGGAATTTAATCTTTATTCAGAAATTGCTTGAAAAATATACTTGCATATATGTAAAATGAAGCTTTCTCCTTATTACTTGCATATTTCTTACTATGTGTGTTAAACTCTTTGTCTTGTCTCAGGAAGCAGCCAAGAGAGAAGTCCTAGAGGAAACTGGTTTGGAAACAGACATTACCACTCTGATAATGGTTGAATCTGCCTCTGGGTCATGGTTCAGATTTGTTGTCACTGGTAATGTGTTAGGTAAGCAAGCTTTTAATACAGATTGTGATTATAATAGTTTAAAAATTACAAATTAAGATACTGATAGATCTAGGTATACTGATAAGAATTTGCTATCAATTTTTCAAGAGGAAGCACGATCACTTCTTCCACTAACTGCTAGATCAACTAGGTTGTGATGGCTGTGTGGGTTATGGGGTTGCCAACAGCAGCAGCCTGGTTGAAGAGATAAATCACCAGAATAGCCTGGTCTGGGGTAGGGATGTGAAGGTAGAAAAACTTAAAAGTGGTCACAGGTATCTCACAGGTAATATTATTGTGATTTTAGCACATTATAGGCAATAACTCATTACCAGAATTTTTTATATAACATTTTTAAAATAAAAAACACTTAAAAAATTTCCACTCTGGTAATTATGTACTTACTACTGTGTATTCCTGCATGAAGGTTTTTGGACAAAGAAGGAATCTAGTTCGGTGGCTTACTTGAATAGTTTAGTGTTTGTAGAGCCATACTGTGATATAACTGTAACTTGTAGAAGTATACCATCTCGTGATTAATGCAATTCAAGCTAATGGTACCTTTTGACTTAGAACATAGTTGGTGTCATGATGAATGATATGTAATGTTTTTTCAGGTGGAACACTAAAGACACCTGCCTGTGCCGATAAAGAGTCACTGCAAGCCAAGTGGGTGGAGGATCTTGGAGAACTGAGTCTGAGAGGCAATGACATATACCCTTTGATTCAGCGTGCCAAACAGTATTGTGCACGCAAAGAGGAGCCCTGGCATCCCATGTTGCTGCCTATTAACAAGCCACATACAAGGCTTCTCCTTAGATTGGTCATTGCTATTAGAAAAAGAGTCAAGTAAGTTGAAACAAAATTTCATTAATGTAATTTTTTCAGCTTCCTTATATGTGGAACTATAGGTCATATAGTACATTATGTACTGTATTTAGGGTACTGTACAGTCATCTACAAATTCGAAGGCTTTCTTATTTGTGGTTTTTGATTATCTACTTTTTGTGCTGACAAGAAATACGTGAATAGATTCAGTTATCCAATGAATTTCTGGTGATACAAATTCTTTTAGGCTTGGTGTAAGACCCCTAGATTTAAAACTAACAAAAGACTTGATTCAGATTGTGTTTGAGGGCTCAGTAGAGATGTATATTACAGAGCTATATATTACATAGATATATATTACATAGATATATATTACATAGATATATATTACATAGATATATATTACATAGATATATATTACATATATATTACATAGATATATATTACATAGATATATATTACATAGATGTATATTATATAGATATATATTACAGAGATTTCTGTATAACAAAATTTGTTATACAGAAATAATTTTTTATTATTTGTTGTTTTTAGTCATGCTGGACTTATATGAATATAAACCTCCTTGAATTTGTAGTCAACTGTACTGGAAAGTATAGTGCCAGCACTCTGAAGGATGGGTGAGGATGTTGCCTTTTGGAGGGTCATCTGAACTGTGATGTCAGCACACTTCTGGCAAGACAGTGACTGAATGAATGAAGCTAATGTGCTCCCTCTTATTGTTTTTGGGGTAGGCTAATCATACCTCAGTGAGAGATAGCTAGTGTGTTAAAGAAAGAACCTGTTACTGAGTTTTGCTTATTTGGACTGTGTGCATGGTGGTCTCACATGTTTAATGTAATTTTAATTTTACAAATTATACACTCTCTCTCATGTTCAGCATAACCATATTGCAATTCCTTACTCCAGTTAAGAGAAATCTTTATTCATTATTTTCTCACAATTTGGTGATGGAGACTGTATTATTGAAATGAGTCCTGCTGTGCAGTAGAGTACTGTGCTGCAGTAGTATGTTTCAAAGTAATATTTTTTTTCAATTTCAATATTCAAAATGTTGACATGTATGTTTCTCCACAGCAACAGATTGTGTATTCTCACCAGTGACAAAACAGCCACTCACCTTCCAGTAACGGAAGTTAACCCTGTGAGGTCCCTCCACTCTACTCTGAGGAAATACATGACAGTAAGTAAATTGTTATTAGCTTTCATGTATTTATTGAGAATATGAACATTACATAGGATCAGATGCCACTCTTATATTACATTTAAAAAAAAATTCAATCTTCAGTGGAAATATATTTCTGAAAACATTGCAAAAAATCTTTTTTTCTGAATTTCTTCTTAAGCATTATTATATTTTTTTTTTTTTCAACAAGTTGGCCGTCTCCCACCGAGGCAGGGCGACCCAAAAAAGAAAGAAAATCCCCAAAAAGAAAATGCTTTCATCATCATTCAACACTTTCACCACACTCACACATAATCACTGTTTTTGCAGAGGTGCTCAGAATACAACAGTTTAGAAGCATGTACGTATAAAGATACACAACATAGCCCTCCAAACTGCCAATATCCCAACCCCCTCCTTTAAAGTGCAGGCATTGTACTTCCCATTTCCAGGACTCAAGTCCGACTATATGAAAATAACCGGTTTCCCTGAATCCCTTCACTAAATATTACCCTGCTCACACTCCAACAGATCGTCAGGTTACAAGTACCATTCGTCTCCATTCACTCCTATCTAACACGCTCACGCACACTTGCAGGAAGTCCAAGCCCCTTGCCCACAAAACCTCCTTTACCCCCTCTCTCCAACCCTTTCGAGGACGACCCCTACCTCGCCTTCCTTCCCTATAGATTTATATGCTTTCCATGTCATTCTACTTTGATCCATTCTCTCTAAATGACCAAACCACCTCAACAACCCCTCTTCTGCCCTCTGACTAATACTTTTATTAACTCCACACCTTTTCCTAATTTTCACACTCCGAATTTTCTGCATAATATTTACACCACACATTGCCCTTAGACAGGACATCTCCACTGCCTCCAACCGTCTCCTCGCTGCTGCATTTACCACCCAAGCTTCACACCCATATAAGAGTGTTGGTACTACTATACTTTCATACATTCCCTTCTTTGCCTCCATAGATAACGTTTTTTGACTCCACATATACCTCAATGCACCACTCGCCTTTTTTCCCTCATCAAT